ATGGGCCGAAGGCTTTAGGGTCCTTCATCCCTCACTGCGCATGTGGTTTCTTCCAGTGGAGTGTATTTAGAAACGGGGCGATGCATAACATTGTATTCTGACCTAACGGAACCTAGTTACTGGTTGAGATCATGCCAGGCAGTTTTATTTTAGACTCCTGTACAGCTTGCTCTATCGTTGCACAACATAATTTTCTTCTGATGACTTGCATCCATGTCCGCCACTTCCTTATCTTCCAATTTCCGCAGGCGATGATTACAAGATAAAGGTGTGGAACTACAAGACCCGCCGTTGCCTCTTCACGCTGCTGGGCCACCTGGACTACATCCGCACCGTCCAATTCCATCAGGAATACCCGTGGATCGTGAGCGCCAGCGATGACCAGACGATCCGCATCTGGAACTGGCAGTCGCGCAACTGCATCTCCGTGCTCACCGGTCACAACCACTACGTCATGTGCGCCGCCTTCCACCCCAAGGAGGATCTCGTCGTGTCCGCCTCCCTGGACCAGACCGTGCGCGTGTGGGACATCGGCGCGCTGCGCAAGAAGTCCGTTGCGCCGTCCGAGGACGTGGTGCGCCTGCCGCAGATGAACTCGGATCTGTTCGGCGGAGGGGACGCCGTGGTGAAGCACGTGCTGGAGGGGCACGACCGCGGGGTTAACTGGGCCGCGTTCCACCCCTCGCTGCCGCTCATCGTGTCCGGCGCTGACGACCGTCAAGTGAAGCTGTGGCGCATGAATGGTGAGTCGGAGCGAGGGAGATCCGGTCCCGCTCCTTGCGTAGGGCAGAGCCGCGCTGTCTTTGAATTCGCATGGCATGAAGGAAATCGTAGTACTTTCTTCCCGCTCAACCTTATCACCGATGCGGCCTGCCCGCTCTTCCTTCCCCCACCCTTCGCGCTGCCTTCGCTGTCCCATCCCGTTCGCCACCATGTCTTTTTCCCGCTCCGCCCGCCGCCCTTACAGACACCAAGGCGTGGGAGGTGGACACGCTGCGCGGGCACGTGAACAACGTGTCGTGTGTTCTCTTCCACGCGCGGCAGGACATCATCGTGTCCAACTCCGAGGACAAGAGCATCCGCGTGTGGGACATGTCCAAGCGCACCAGCGCGCAGTCCTTCCGCCGCGAACACGACCGCTTCTGGATCCTCGCCGCGCACCCGGAAATGAACCTTCTGGCCGCGGGCCACGACAGCGGCATGATCGTCTTCAAGCTGGAGCGCGAGCGCCCTGCGTACGCCGTTCACGGCAACATCCTGTACTATGTCAAGGACCGTTACATCCGCACGTACGAGTTTGGCTCTGGCCGCGATAACCCTCTCATCTCCATCCGCCGCCCGGGCACCACGGGCAGCAACCAGGGCCCGCGCTCGCTGTCTTACAATCCCGCGGAGAACTCCGTTCTGATCTGCTCGGATGCGGATGGCGGTAGCTACGAGCTGTACACCGTTCCCAAGGACGCCGGGCGCGGGGGCGGCGCGGCGGAAGCGCCTGAGGCGAAGCGGGGCGCGGGAACTTCGGCTGTGTTTGTGGCGCGGAACAGGTTCGCGGTCCTGGACAAGAGCCACGACCAGATCGTTATCAAGAACCTGCGCAATGAGGTCACCAAGAAGTGCCCCCCGCCTGTCGCCTCCACAGACGCGATTTTCTACGCTGGCACTGGGTCTCTGCTCTGCCGCTCCGACGATAAGGTCGTTCTGTTTGACGTGCAGCAGCGGGCTGCGATCGCGGAGCTCACGACTCCGTTCGTGAAGTATGTGGTGTGGTCGGCGGATATGAACCACGTGGCGCTGCTGTCCAAGCACGCGATCATCATCGCGAACAAGCGCCTGGCGCACCGCTGCACGGTGCACGAGACGATCCGCGTGAAGAGCGGCGGGTGGGACGACTCGGGCGTGTTCATCTACACCACTCTGAACCACCTCAAGTACTGCCTCCCCAACGGCGACAGCGGCATCATCCGAACCCTCGACGTGCCCGTGTATATCACCAAGGTGGAAGCCGGTGCTGTGTACTGCCTGGACCGCGACGGGAAGATGCGTGTGGTGCAGATCGATTCCACTGAGTATATGTTCAAACTGGCGCTGATCCAGCGCAAGTACGACCAGGTGCTCGCCATGATCCGCAGCTTCCAGCTGTGCGGGCAGAGCATCATCGCGTACCTGCAGCAGAAGGGCTTCCCAGACGTGGCGCTGCACTTTGTGAAGGACGAGCGCACGCGCTTCAACCTGGCGATCGAGTGCGGGAACATCGAGGTGGCGCTGGCGTCCGCGCATGAGATCGACCACAAGGATACCTGGTACCGCCTGGGTGTTGAGGCGCTCCGCCAGGGTAACCACCAGATTGTGGAATTTTCCTACCAGAAGACCAAGAACTTTGAGCGCCTTTCCTTCCTGTATCTGATCACGGGGAACCTGGAGAAGCTGGGTAAGATGCTCAAGATTGCCGAGATGCGCAATGATGTGATGGGGCGCTTCCATAACGCGCTCTACCTTGGGGATGTGGAGGAGCGGGTGAAGATACTGGAGGAGTCTGGGCACGCGCCGCTGGCGTATGTTACTGCGGCAGTGCATGGGCTGGAGGAGACGGCTGCTCGTCTGGCGGAGGAGCTAGGCGACCGCGTGCCTCCCCTCCCTGCGGACGGCACTGCGAAGCTGCTGCTGCCGCCCACGCCCATCCTGCGCCAGGACAACTGGCCGCTGCTGAACGTTAGCAAGGGCATTATGTGGGATTTCGGGGATGCTGGCACTGCCGCGGCTGCTGGCGCGGACGAGGAGGTGGGAGCTGGGTGGGGCGACGTGGATATCCCGGATGTGGGCGAGGGGGCGGAGGGAGAGGCGGAGGAGGGCGAGGGCGAGAAGGAGGAGCGTGAGGGCGAGGGCGAGGACGACGAGGACGGGTGGGGAGGCATTGATGTGGATATTCCCGACGATGGCGGCGCGGGCGACGTGGGCTCTGGTGCCGATACGACCTTCTTTGTGGCGCCCAGCCCTGGCATTCCCATCACGCAGAAGTGGGCCCAGAAGACGCCTCTTGCCGGAGAGCTCGCAGCAGCAGGCGCGTTCGACGCGGCCATGCGCCAGCTCAGCCGCCAGCTGGGCATCAAGAACTTCGCTCCGCTGCGCCAGGGCATGCTGGACCTGTCTCTTGCCAGCCAGACGTCCCTCCCTGCCCTCCCATCCGTGCCTGCCATCGCCCTCGGGATGGAAGCGGGCTGGACGGAGACGTCTCCTCCGAATGTGTGGGCGCACCCGTCCATGGCGTTCCGCCTGAGTGCGCTGGATGAGAAGTTGAACGCGGCGTACAAGATGACCACGGAGGGCAAGTTCACGGACGCGCTGCGCCTGTTCCTGGGCATTCTGCAGACGATCCCGCTGCTGGTGGTGGAGACGCGCAAGGAGGTGGACGAGGTGAAGGAGCTGCTGGGCATTTCCAAGGAGTATACGCTCGCGCTGCGCGTCGAGCTCAAGAGGAAAGAGACCCGCGACAACCCCGTCCGCCAGGTCAGAACACCCCTGTTTGTGTTGATTTGTCTGCTGACTTCAATGTGCTTTTAACCAGTGCGGTGGTTGACCTTAATCTCTAGAGATTGGACTTGTTGCCTGCTGCATATGCTTTCGTAATTGTTGCTTTCGTAGCCACAGCAATGTGGCAAGTATGTTTGTTGTTTGAAAGAGCATCTGGCAACACAACAGCTGCAAGGCAATACATGCGTGCTTTCTTATTGAGGGGTATGTGTGCGTGTGTGGTCTGCACATACCATTCTTTTCTCCGTCCCACTGCATCTCTCCGCTTGGGTGTGCACACCTCTCCCTTCCACCCCCACCCCTGTCCCCCATCACCTCCCCCCCTCTCTCTCTCTCTCTCCTCTCTAGGCCGAGCTGGCAGCATACTTCACGCACTGCAAGCTGCAACCAGCTCACCTGAAGCTCAGCCTGCAGGCAGCCATGGCTGCCGGTTTCAAGCTCAAGCTCTTTGCCACCACGGCCAGCATCTGCCGCCGCCTCCTCGAGCTGAACCCCACCGCTGGCGTGGCCACCAAGGTGCGGAAGATCCTGGCAGAGTGCGAGAAGAACCCGCGCGATGAGAAGCAGCTGAATTACGACCCGCGCAACCCGTTTGTCGTGTGCGGGTCGACTTTCGTGCCGATTTACCGCGGCAGCAGGGACTCCTTCTGCCCCTACTGCGGGGCCCGCTTCGTGCCGGAGTGTGCGGGGTCTGTGTGTGCTGTGTGTGATCTGGCTGTGGTGGGCGCGGATGCTTCTGGGCTTGTGTGCTCTATGAGCCAGATTCGATGAGTGGCTGGGTTCTGTGTGGGTGGGGAAGAGGGACAGGGCGTGACAGGTGGTGGTGGGAGGTGTTGTGCGCTGGGTTTTTCAGGCTGACTGGCTGCTCTGTGCAGTTTGGGGAAGGGTTATACCTCTGTTGCTCACGGTTGTTGCAGCTACTGCATACTCCCCCTAAGCTGCTGTTTCTCACTTAATCTCCTTCCTGCTCTCCTTGCCTAAGCTCCCCATTCTATACCCCTCTTCCATACAAGCTTCACCTTTCTATCGTGTCTCCCTCCCTGCCAAGCTTTGTTCCTGTTCTTTCCACTTGTATGGGGTAGTTACGGTTCTACACTATGCAGTCTCAATGCTCTCTTGTCATGTAGGTTTTAGGATTTGACTCAGCAAGACAGCCTTTTGCTTCTTTTAGCCTGTGGCTTGATGGAGCTACATTCATGCAATGACCTTCAAATGAACACGTCTGTAATTCTGTCCTGATGGCCTCATGCTTGTGCGTGCTAGGCTTTCTCACGATGTCACACAGGAGGCAATGTAGTGCCAATCCTCTCATCAAGGATGCTAGTGGCGAATGCAGGGCACAGCAATGTTACCACTCTGAATGAGGGTCCCCAAAAACAACTCACCAACTCAAGTACAGTCCATGGAATCTAGAGTGCATGCAATGTGCCTACTGCACTGTGAGAATGAGAACCTAGATTCCAGCTGTGCCGTCACCAAGAAGTGCCCGCCATAACACCTGGGCTCGCTCCAAGCCCTCCAAACCCGTTTCCCATTCCAGCCCCCCCTGCAAACGAGCCCCACTGCGTTACAGTCACACCTGGGCTTGCTGCTACCCCTGGGCGCATCCCTCCCATATAGCCCCACTGCTGCATAGTCACACTCGGACTAGCTCCTATTCCTGAGCCTATCCCTCCCACAGTACCCCATTGCTGCATAGTCACACCTGGGCTAGGTCCTGTTCCCAAGCCCATCCCCCCTAAAGCACCCCATGGCTGTAAAGTCAGATTTGGGCTTGCTCCTATCCCTGAGCCTAGTCCCCCCATAGAGCCCCACTGCTGCATAGTCACACCTGGGCTGGCACCTGAAAACCACCCTGCAATTAGGTCAGACATGGAGGGATAAGTGATCTCAGGTGCTGCAGAGGTCGCCAGGTTCGGAAGCGTACTGGCGAGGTTCGGAGGGGCGTTCGGGAGGCTCGGCAGCACGTCTGGAAGGTTTGGGACGGCTGGGATTGGCTGGGTGGCAACAGGGTGGGGCGGAAGGTTGGAGTGAATCCAATGAGAGGCAAGTTGACCCAACGGACTCGGGCCGAAACCCGAAGCAGGGAGAGTGGAAGCAGCCTCGGCAGAAGCAGGTGCGGCAGAAGCAGGTGCGGCAGAAGCAGGTGCGGCAGAAACAGGCAGAGGTGGGTTTACAAGGGAGAGGGCTGCAGTGATGGTGTTGGGCGTAGCACCCGTGCTTGCAGGCGCTGTGACACCAGCAGCAGCAGCAGCAGCAGCAGCAGCAGCAGCAGCAGCAGCAGCAGCAGCAGCAGCAGCAGCAGCAGCAGCAGCAGCAGCAGCAGCAGCAGCAGCAGCAGCAGCAGCAGCAGCAGCAGCAGCAGCAGCAGCAGCAGCAGCAGCAGCAGCAGCAGCAGCAGCAGCAGCAGCAGCAGCAGCAGCAGCAGCAGCAGCAGCAGCAGCAGCAGCAGCAGCAGCAGCAGCAGCAGCAGCAGCAGCAGCAGCAGCAGCAGCAGCAGCAGCAGCAGCAGCAGCAGCAGCAGCAGCAGCAGCAGCAGCAGCAGCAGCAGCAGCAGCAGCAGCAGCAGCAGCAGCAGCAGCAGCAGCAGCAGCAGCAGCAGCAGCAGCAGCAGCAGCAGCAGCAGCAGCAGCAGCAGCAGCAGGAGAAACTGGCGGTGGAGACGAGGCTGCTGCAGCATCAGCAGAACAGGCTGAAGCATCACCACGAATCATGGCCACGGCTGCTGCATCAGCACCACTTCTGGCTCTGCCACCAGCCGCAGCGTCCAAGTCATAATCACCCGAATCCATAGGTGTCTCTGTGGGCTCATGATAGTGAGACGCACTAGGCTCCGAGTCAACAAGCTGCAGACTGGGATGCTCTGAAATAGTTGACTGTGGCTGGGTGGGGATGTGGATGTGCAAGGAGGGGTGGCTGGGCATGGTGCTGCTGCGGGTGATGGTGAGACTTGAGCGCACACCCATGTATTCATACACCTCCTCGTCCTCTTGCAACTCCTCCCCTTCCCCGTCCTCCTCATGTCCCTCCTCCCCCTCCTCCTCGTATTCCTCTTCCTCCTTCTCCTCACGTTCCTCCCTTCCCTCCTCGTCATCTTCCCCCTGCTCCCCGCACTGCTGCCCATGGTGCTGCTCGTACTCGTTCTGCTGCCCTTGCCGTTCCAACTGATCGTCCTCCTCCCCTTGCATTAGCGCAGACCGGCCCTTCCCACCCCCACCAACGCCCACACACTCATCCCTGCTTCCAGCAATAGCCACACCGTCTCCCACCCCACCGTCTCCCATCCCATCATCTCTCACCCCACCATCTCCCCTCCCACCACCTCTCGCCTCACTGCCAGTAGCGTGTCTCTCACTCACATTGGCATGGCTCGTATTGCTTTCAACACGCTGGCAAGCTGCCGGCCCCCTCGTCTTCCGCTCCCTAAAACCTGTCCTGACCACACACCATCCTTTCTCTGCCCACCACTCGACTCTTGAGTCGACTCAGAAGTAATTTCCCGCCCCAACTGTCCAGCCCACCACTCGCCTCTTCCAAGGGGTTGGACCGACTCTCCACATTCCCCCTTTCAAATATCATATCCTCCATGCCCGAGGCTGCTTCTCCTTGAGTCGAACCAGCCTCAAACTGTTTCGAGCCTGATGCCGAGCCTCGGCACCCGAAGCTGGAGCTCCGGAGGGAGAACTTCAGCCGGTCCTGGGGTGGGAGCCGGGCGGACTGGCTGTGCTGCAGAGTGCGCTTAGCAGGGCTGGCTGGGTTTGAAGGACTGGCCTGATATGAAGGTAGAGGTGCCACTGCTAGTGCTGCGGGTGCTGCTGCTTTTCCCAATGCTGGTGCAGTTTTGTTGCCCTGCGTAACCACCTCTGGTGCTGCTGCTGCTGCTTCTCTCTGTGCTGCATTATCTGCAGCAGCACCACAAGCAGCCGCTGTTGCTGCCATCGATTTCTGATCGGACCTGGGAACCACCGTCGTTGCTGCTTCCGCGGTGAGCCTTTCCACGCCTGTTAGGCCTACCTTGAACAGACCTGCACTCGTTTTCTGTGGCTCAGCTCCTGATGGAAGCGTTGCTGCTTCCGCGGTGAGCCTTTCCAGGCCTGTTAGGCCTGGTGTGACCAGACCTGCACTCGCTTTCTGTGCCTCAGCCCCCGATGGAAGCGCTGCTGCTCGAGGCTCCTGAGTTGCTTTAAACACCAGCGCCGTTTCCTTTGATTCGCCTGGAAGTGGCGACTTCATCCCCCAAAGCAGATTCGCAGAAGCACCACCGGGAGACAATTCCCCAGGTTCCTGAGGTGCCTTAAACACCGCCTCTGTTCTTTGTGATTACACACCACCACACTTGGAGTCGCTCCAAGAATCCTTTGGAGGAGGCCGGTCCATCATCCACCGCTCGTAGATGTTACCGGAGTGGGTGCTGTCAACATCGTCCCACCGAAGTTTGAACCTGAAATTGGGAAGATGGTTAGGGTAGCACAGATTTTGAAAGTGTTGTATGAAGTGTTGTTGACAAAAAGCAAGTGTGTGTGGTAGCTGAAGCAATGTGGTTGGTTCGTTTTGAAAGAATGCAGGATGGAAATGCCGACATCAATTGTGCGAGCATGTGCGAACGAGGAGAGGTGGATATACCAAGATCGTGCTTGCAGAACAGAACGGTTCCCTTGCCACTTGAGCTCCACAATACGGCCAGCATTTTACCAGTGCCTGTAGCCACACTAGCATAGAACCGCTTTTCTTAACTGAAAACGAGGCTCCCAGCAATCGGAACATAACCTGCCTCGCCTTCAGAGGAATCTGCTGCAGAAGTGCTCACAACACTCCCGTTACCAGGAAAGGCCAGCCATACGAGTCGTCGCGATCAAAACTGCTGCTGCTAGCACTGGTTGCAGCCCTACTGCTCCTCTCAAGCACTACGTTCTCCTGCGTTGCTCTGTCTCTGGCATTCCAGCACCCATCGCATGATTTTTCTGCAGGCCCAATGTCCTTCTTGTTCGTGTGCTGATGCCCGGCTACACACCTGGAAACGGTTGCTTGTCCGCACACCTGATCGTGTGTCCCGTGTTCTTGCTGCATACCACTGGCTCCTGCCCCTGTACACGCCACAGCGGCTCATTTCCGCTGCCAGAACTCCTCAAGCTGCGTCGAGATTTGGGAAAAGAAGGGGGTGGGGACGGGAGAGCGAGATGGGGTGAGTGGAGGATGCGGGACGACAGGAGGGCATGAAAGGGAAGGCGGAATGCCGGAAAACTGTGCGAAGAAAAAGAAGCAGAAACAAGCCACGTTAAATATGTAAGAGGATAAAAAAGTTCACGAACAAGCCTAAAAGCAGAAACATCATAATTTACTTGCAACGTACGCTACACTAAAGCCATGCGAATGCGGCCACATACCTTACGCCTTCCCGCCTGCGCAAACGTGTCCTTCCTCATCGGAAAAATCCCTTGTCAGCCAAACACAGGCCCAAGGGTTTTGCCCGTGAGCACTCTGAGGGGGGGGGGGCAAATGGAAACCATAGGTTTCCTGCTAGATGTGTCGGTGGAACTCGAAATGATCGAAACTGACGACTGATCGTTTATTTTCTGTTTTTTTCAACCATTTAACGGGCTGACTGGAACGGCCGAGGTTCGAGAGTTTAGGGTTTGGTCTGTGTCGAGCTGGTTTGGATGAGATGCAGCCGTGAATTGTGCCACGTACTCTCCCTTCGTAACTTTGCCACTGTTTGCCTATTCTGGGCGGTTTTGATTTGCAGTCGCGGCAGTCGCGATCTGGTTACTGGTTTCCTTTTTCGTTGCATGTGGCATTTGCCTTCCTGTAGTGTTGGTACATCGCGTTTTTTCCCCTCTGTAGTATTTCCGCTATTGTTTGGCTCGTTTACAGTGTGTGCAGGTTTTTTGCTTTACATTAGCTTTATGTTATCTGACTGGTAAGGTAGGTGAATCGTTTTAAAATTCCAGACGCTACGCTTTGATTTTCGTCATACGTGTTAGAGTTTGTTGCTTACATTTTTTAAATTGGTACGGTGCGATTATTGTATGTTAGATTCCCGATTTAACAGTCGATTTGCTATGAAAAAAGCCTAGGTATTCTTTGTGATTGTATGTATATGTATACACATGACGACGGATAATTTTGCTTAATTGACATGTACAGGCACGCCAATTAGGGTTGTGCATGTGTTATTGTGGTATTGTATGGGACAGTTATAATGATTTTACTATTCTGGTTGTTATACTGTGCATGCAGTATGTTACTATGTAGCGTGTCCGTTGGTTTTGTCTTACACGACCAGGTTGATTACGTTGGTTGACACGTGTGTTTCCCGCCACAATTTAGTCAATGCAGTTTTGTATCGCTGCGCGTTTTTTTGCGAGTCGCGCTAATTCGCATTTTGGTTATTTGGCGCATTCCCACTTGTTCACCCGCGTTTGACCTGCTGTGTCGCTTTGTAACATTCATTTTTGGGCGCGGGTCGGTTTGAAGTGTTCACGGGTAGGTTTCGAGTGGGTAGTCCGCATGCCTAAAATGATGTTTAGCTTAAAGTGATATTCGCATTTCATTGCGAACTGAAGTGATGTTTGCATTTCCCTGCGAACTGATAACCCATCCTGCCACTACTGTATTAAGTGGCTGATATTTTAACGGCACCATGTGTCAGATCTTAGCAAGGGGGCGTTACGGTTTGTAACCGTGTTTATAAACGCTGTTTTTGGTCTCAGCCTTTCGGGAAACTGGCAGAGTTTTAGGCCCCAGCGACTCCCAGCCTTGGCCCCAAAACTCTCGACAGTTCTGCTTAGGGGGAAATGAACTCCATCCTCTGTTCTGCTTGACGTGTTGTGTCTGGAATTCCAAATTCCAAATTCGTGCTTTTTCCGAAACTCGACAATTCCTTGCCCGAGAAATCATAGCATTTTCCTTGCGCGACAAATCCGTGCGGTTACCTGCGATTTAAGGGTTGAACTTTGGGAGAGGCTTCACTAGCGACCCCTGCTGGCGGCTAAACCGCGAGATTATTGCGACTCGGCAGCAAGGTTGCCTTGAAGTCACGGTGATCTCACAAGGTGTGATTTGTAGCTACACCCTCGCCCTCGCTTTCGTCCGCCGCCCACGTCTTCTCCCGTCGCTGTCGTTTGCCCCCGACACCCACTCCTTCCCCCGTCGCTCACTCTCTTTCCGCCGTCACCCTCGCTTTCCCCCGCTGCCCACTCCTTCTCCCGTCGTTCTCGTTTGCCCCCGTCACCCACTCTTTCCCCCGTCGCACTCGCTTTCCCCCGTCGCCTCTGGCTTTCCCCCGTCGTCCTTGCTTCCCCCGTCGCCCTCGCTTTCCCCCGTCGTCATTGCTTTCCCCCGTCTCTCTCGCTCTCCCCCGCCGCCCACTCCTTTCCCCGTCTCTCTCGCTTTCCCCCGCCGCCCACTCCTTCTCCCGTCGTTCTCGTTTGCCCCCGTCACCCACTCTTTCCCCCGTCGCACTCACTTTCCCCCGTCGCCTCTGACTTTCCCCCGTCGTCCTTGCTTCCCTCGTCGCCCTCGCTTTCCCCCGTCGTCATTGCTTTCCCCCGTCTCTCTCGCTCTCCCCCGCCGCCCACTCCTTTCCCCGTCTCTCTCGCTTTCCCCCGCCGCCCACTCCTTCTCCCGTCGTTCTCGTTTGCCCCCGTCACCCACTCTTTCCCCCGTCGCACTCGTTTTCCCCCTCGCCTCTGACTTTCCCCCGTCGTCCTTGCTTCCCCCGTCGCCCTCGCTTTCCCACGTTGTCATTGCTTTCCCTCGTCTCTCTCGCTCTCCCCCGCCGCCCACTCCTTTCCCCGTCTCTCTCGCTTTCCCCCGCCGCCCACTCCTTCTCCCGTCGTTCTCGTTTGCCCCCGTCACCCACTCTTACCCCCGTCGCACTCGCTTTCCCCCGTCGCCTCTGGCTTTCCCCCGTCGTCCTTGCTTCCCCCATCGCCCTCGCTTTCCCCCGTCGTAATTGCTTTCCCCCGTCGCTCTCGTTTCCCCCCGCCGCCCACTCCTTCCCCCGTCTCTCTCTCGCTTTCCCCCGCCGCCCACTCCTTCTCCCGTCGTTCTCGTTTGCCCCCGTCACCCACTCCTTCCCCCGTCGCCCTTGCTCTACCCCGTCGCCCACACTTGTCACCGTCCCCCACGCTTTCCCGAGTCGCACACGCGTTCCCCGGCGCCCACACTTGTCAGCGTCCCCCGTCGCTCTCGCTTTCCTCTGTCATCTTCCCTCCATTTCCTCTGTCGTAATTGCTTTCCCCCATCGCCCTCGTTTTCCCGCGTCGCTCACGGTTTCGCCGCCGCCCTCGCTTACCCACCGTTGCCCTTGCTTTCCCCCGTGCCTCTCATCGACCCTCCCTCCACCCTCCCTTTGTTCACTCTCTCCCCCTCCTCTCTCCACCGTCCCCTTTTCTGGCCTGAACACTTTCTGTGGGTTAGCCGAATCTGCCCTCCTAATTGAGCTGCATTCACTCCTCTCACCGACCCTCCCCCCACCCTCCCTCCTCCCTTCACTCCCCCTCCTCTCTCCAGCGTCCCCTTCACTGGCCTGAACGGGCGTGCCGGGTTAGCCGAACCTGCCCTCCTCCATCACAGCATTCAAGACCTCACATCGCGATCCACCCCCCCCCCCCTCTCATCCATCCTTCCTCCCTCCACACTTGCCCGCGTCCCCTCCACAGGCTCACAAATGGCTTATAATTGCTCAGTATGCGGCTCTGAGGGCTTCAGTGGCAGAGGTCCGCTCAGCAACCATCGTAACGGGGACACATGCAGAGCCACCGCTGCCAATGGAATTGCAAGCCATGTTACCGCTCCATCCATGCAGTTACCACGCACTGCACATGCTACCATGCCCACCCCTCCCTTGTCCATCAACCCACCTATTGACACTATGCCCGAATCCCAAGCACCCCCATCACAACATTCAATCCCCACCATTGCTGAGCCCGAACCCCAAGCAGAACAAACCGAGCAACACGAGGGTCTAGGTGAGGGCGTTTCCTGCGCGGAAGGTGAGAGCGTTGCGTTTAACTTTGCCGACGCTTTCACTCATTTTCTCCTCACCTCCAACCTATCCAAAAGTGCGATTGATAAGCTGCTCCAGATTTTGAATCTTGGATCTAAGTTTAACGATGACATTGTCGTTTTCCGTAATGCGCGAGACGTGGAGAAATACGTCGATGACCGCGTCCCCGATCCCCATCGTAATTGGAGACGAGGATTGGTGCGAGTTCAGTCTAAACCCGCTTTAGAGTTTTTTTTCTGTGACGGTGTCATTGGGATGATTGACCTTCTGACACATCCCAAAATCGCAGAAAAACTGGTTCTCAAACCCACATTACGCGAACCCAATGGGACTCATGTGTATTCTACACCTGAATCTGGGGATTGGTGGATGACACTGCATAATGAGGTCCAAAAAGTTGATCCGGACGGCGTCGTCGTCGCTCTTATATTATCGAGCGACGAGACACATATGGACCAACGTGGCAAAGCCAAGGGTCATCCAGTGTACCTCACGTTAGGCAACATAGACAAGCATGACCGTTGGCAGCCGTGGGGTCATGTCTTGATTGCTTTGCTGCCAGGATTCACGTCTGACTACGATTCTGTTGACAAATTAATTGCATTCCAACACATCCTCTCGATGGTCATGGAACCCTTGAGGAAGGCCTCACACACTGGGGTGAGAGTGCAGGATCCTACCGGTGCCACGTACAATGCGTGGCCTGGATTATACGCATACGCATGCGACTACCCCGAGTCGTGCAAGGTTACGTGCACAAAATCGGGGACCACTGGCTTTCCGTGCTCGTTGTGCACTGTGCCCGTTGCCGAGACCAACAAACTCTTGAATCGCATCAACCCTCGAACCCCACTCATGCAAAGGGGCATAACAGCGCTGTTGAAGCACAAAGTCTTCCCTAAAGGTGTGTCCAGCATCTCGACACATCCGGCTGACTGTTTTTTGTGGGGATGGCGTTGGGAATCAATTCCTATATTGAACCCGTACCTGTGCGTCATGCCTGATATCATGCACCAGGCAGATCTGGGTATTCTAGTGCACATTATTGATATCTTCCGCGGGAAACTAACCACGGGCAAGAAGAGGGAGGCGGACGATAGAATAGCGTACTTGCGGGAGCACAACCGCAACCCGTTCATGCGGTTGCCCGGCGGCGACTATTTCTCCTCGGGCGCAAGCTATCAGGCGTATGAGCATAGGAGTGTCATGCAAGTCCTTCCATTCCTAGTGCGTGGTTTTGAGCCCAATGTCCCGCAGACGCAACTGGACGCAATTGCAACATACATCGAGTGGTACACCTACTGTGCACGCACGAGCGAGCACACGGAGGAATCGCTCCGTGATTTGAAGCACAAGGCGGAAAGGTGAGAACATGGTGGGCTGCCCTTGTCCCCACTCTTCCACACCTTGGTGATATTGCACAAGTTGTTTGTTCGTTATGAGCTTCTGGTCGATGTGTGCCTAAACCAACATCACACCCCATGCATCTTCCCACTCTCGCACCCTCTTATGGCAGGTTGATTTTTTCACTGAAGACAGCCTTCCCCCTTCAAACTTCAAAGTGGCAATTCATAAAGATGCACCTGATTAGCCACTACATCGACTCAATCCGTCGCGCAGGACTGCCCGAGCAATACTCTACGCAGATGTTCGAGCACCTGCACATCGAGTACATCAAGAACCCGTACAGAGCTTCAAACCGTCGTACAGCCACTGCACAAATAATGAACAGTGAGGTGATGCGTCTGCGGCTCGACTCCCTTGCACCGACCCTTGGCAAGCGTAAAACCTACGACACGTGCATGGTTGAGGTGAGTCTTAGTGGCATTTTGGCTGCCGCATTTTAACGCCTCTAGTAATATCACAATTCACACACATTGTTTCTTGCCTGCAGGCTCAAAGGACCGGGGAAAGGGTGATGACTCGTGAGAGCTGGAGGCTGCTGGTCCCACACAACCGCCGTGTGGCACCCTTCGTGGTGCCGTTGACTCCAGACGCTGACCGTGATAGCGAATTCTTGACTGCGTTGTCTGCAGATCTGCCGTTCTTACGCACTGCGTTGAACAGTGCCCCAGCATGCACGGGTACAACCATCGACACCATCCACGTAAGACAGTCCTTAAACCACATGGTCATCATACCCCCCATCCCCCCCCCCCCCCCCCCCCCCGCCCCCCCTCTTTCCCTTTCACCCGCAATTCAGTTCATGTAGGTCCTGCACCTTGGTGTTCACATTATTGCCTCATATTTTGGCTCACTCCATGCCATGTGGGCTGCCCATTTGTAGTCCGCCCCCCACCCCACTCTCACTAACCACATATTAGCCCAACCCAAGTTCGTACTTGTGCCTCATAACCACCCGACCCTCTCTCCCTTTCACTTTAACTTCACCTGCAGGTCCACAACGGGTTGGCAATGCCAGCTGCCATTGATGCGGCTTTCAGCCGCCTACCCCATCACGTGCGCGCAGCGCCTATGTTCTATGGCCGGCCCTGGTTCTCCAACGTCGCGGTTGTAGGGGAGGAAGATGATGAGGGGACCCACGAATGGTACGCTAAGTTGTTGATACTGTGCGAGGTCCGCATAGGGAGACTGCTGGTGCCATACGCTTTCATTAAGTACTATGACACAGCCCCTACCAAAGACACAGCTACGAAGTGCACAAAACTGCAGTGGGCTGCATCAACGGAAAGGTACAGTGTGATTGCGATAACCAGCATCCTACCGGCGGTAGAGCTGGTCCGTACAGCGCCAACAGTGGATGTGTGGCTAGTTAATAAGTTCATGTTCTAGAACAAAATCACGAAGCAATGATATAATGCATACTGGTGTTCATGTTTTTTAGAAATGTCGCACATGTTGGAACATTATCATAGTCGGTCCTGCTGGTGCATTTACCGCTTCTCCACCACCGCACCAAGTTTGGAGCAACTATCTCTGCAAGTTTACAAATTTAAAACTAAGACATTCAACAAAGCCCTATAAATTTGCAAGCCTTACAATGATGTTTGTATATGTATTATACAGATTGTTCCTCATTGTTGCGTCGTCTGTTTAATCTTGAAACGTGGTTTGTTGACGTGTCAGTGGAATCGGGAAGATTCCACCACGCAATGGCCCCGCGATTCCAGAAAGAACGCGTTGCGATGCACAACGCAGCTGCCGCAGTGACTGGATGGGTTGAGACTGTGCGCGACAACCCGTGGGTTTACAATACGGGCAACGGTGTTGTAGTTCTGTTTTTTTTTCGTCCATCCCAATACTGTATTGTTTCCACCTGGTACCACTGCTTAGCGGCAAATCAGTACAACCAAACTGGCTGTACACTGCGAAGTTTGACGCTCGATGAAACCACGAGCAGGGATGCCGTGATTGCCGTGAGGATTAGGTCTGTAACAGTGCCGCACGTGATAGCTAAACTTGCGAGACGTATTCACGTCGGCGCGCGCCGCAGCTTTACCACGCTGTCTTTCCGCAATCAGCCTCGTATTAACCAATCAGCGACAGTGTCCTTGACCAGCTGGTGCAATGCATGAATCTAGGTGGCAAACCCTGCCGATGAAAATATGCATCAACCAACCATAAACGCCTGCATCTAGCATCTGCGACTCTACTCAGTCGCAAACGCGTCGTGATGTCTGGCGTGCATGGTACAGCTTGTGGCGGGAAACGGATGCTGGCACCAGACGACCAAGCGGGACTGGTCACACTCGGGCGTGATGGTGCAGTGGTGGACGACTCTGCGATTGAAAGTGACTCTACCGAACCAGCCTCGAAGTTCCAAGAGCTCATCCAATGGATGCACCTCATGAAGGAACAGGGAGTCGTTCCCGCTGAGCTGTTGCGTAAGAAACAGAAGGGTAGTGCGGCAAACATGAGTAACACTGATGGAGCAGCTATTCCCTCGCCAGCCATGCCCGTCACTACTCCCACCGTCGTACCGG